GCCTCCGCCGGGCCCCCCGCCACTATGGGGGGGCTGGGCAGATCCTGATCCGCCAGGCTGTGATGTCAGCCCAGCACTTTGTCTCTACGGAGCCGGTGGAGCTGCCGGTACCTGGGCAGTGGGTGGTGGCCGAGTGCCCGGCCCGTGTGGATTTCTCTGGTGAGCTGCCTTTAGGGGTGAGGGTAGCTACCTCAGATGGACAGTCCCCGTGACCGGCGTGGTCTTGCTGAACCCCCATAGGGGGCTGGAGTGACACACCACCCCTCGCCTATGAGCTCGGCGGGGCAGTGCTGGGCCTGGCTGTGCGCGTGGACGGCCGTCGGCCTATCGGGGCCAGGGCACGCCGCATCCTGGAGCCGGAGCTGTGGCTGGCGGTGGGGCCTCGGCAGGACGAGATGGCTGTGAAGATAGTGTGCCGGAACCTGGATGACTTGCAGGACTACTGCCAGCCCCACGCCCCAGGTCAGAGCGCCCAAGGACACTTGCAGGTGGGGACAGCACCCGAAGCCAGCTCAGAAATGGGTAGAACCTGGAGCTCCCTCCTGGAGGACTGCGGGCACTGGGGACTGGGCCCTGGCCAGTGGCTGGAGAAAGCCTAGAGGACACATCTGCCTGCTCCAGGAGCCCAGAGCCCTTTCGTGGCTGGGGGCGGGGCTGCATGCTGCCGGGCTTCTGTCCCACTAGATAAGTCCTGCACCGGCTGGGGGCTGCAGGGTGGGTGGGGGGTGATTCTCCTGGGACCAAACTCCCTACTATGTGCCCGTCTCTCTGCAGGGGCCCTGCTGAAGGCGGCCTTCATCTGTGCAGGGATCGTGAGCGTCCGCTGTGAGATCCCGCTGAGCGAGCAGCTGCAGCGCACCTTTGGGGGTGGCTTCGAGCTGCACACCTGGTCTGAGCTGCCACATGGCTCCGGCCTTGGTGAGCAGGCCCCATCTCCTGCTGCCCCCTACTGTCACTGTCCTCAGCCTTGCCTGTGACTCATCTCCCTGGCCTCTGCCCTGAGAGAGCAGGGCAGGACCAGGCTGAGCAGAGGCGTTTCATGCCTGGCATCCTCCTTTCTACCCTGCAGGAACCAGTAGCATCCTGGCAGGCGCTGCCCTGGCGGCTCTGCAGCGGGCTGCGGGCCGGGCGGTGGGCACCGAGGCTCTGATCCATGCAGTGCTGCACCTGGAGCAGGTGCTTACCACAGGTATGGGGCTGCCCAGGGTACTCGCCCAAGGGCTTCCTGGGGCTCCCCTGGGCTTGCCTGTGCTTTGCCAACAGGCACATAACTGCTCCTTAAATGGAGCTCCCTTCTTCCCACTTGAACCTCTGGTGGTTTTCAGCTTGAAATGTTCACCTGGGAGGAGCTGATGTTTCTGAGCACCTCTGAGCCAGGCTCTGTGCTGCGCCTGACGTGTGCGTTAGCTACTCTGGGTATCAGGCGCTAGTCTTCACGACTCTGCCCATCCAGGCTCTCCTCGGACCTGCTGGGCAGAGGGGGTTTGTAGTGGAGGATGGATCTTCAGTCTGCCCTCTGCCAACTTGCCCCTGTTGGGCTGGACCACCTGCCCCAGCGTAGGAGGAGCCGTGGAGGCCAGTAAAGGCCACGAGGGCTTATTAGCACCAGGCTTCTCTCCCCTCTGGGCCCTCGGGCCCCCAGGATCCATGTGCAGAATACAACAGTGCAGGTCTGTCTGGTTCCTGGTCCTAGGGAGTTCTCTTCACCTGGGCCTCTTCTCCAGCACCACTCTGGGAGACTGGCGTGAAGTCAGACAGATTACTGTCGCTCCGTGGCCCCCCTCTTCCTCTTACTGTAACCACCCACACCCCTTAAGTCATTAGCAAAATGGGCTGTCTGGAGGTGTACGACTCCAGTTCTTCTTCTGGTCAGCCCCCACTGTGGGGGCCGTCGGCATAAATGAGCAAACACTGGGCCCTTACCTTCAAAGAACATGTGGTTGAAGGGAGACAGACATTATTTGGGACCACTCAAGGGAGTGTGTTCTCACGCCGTCCTAGGTGCGCTGAAGGACCGGGCACGGTTAAGGTGTTCTTGACATTTCGGGTCTTCCATGTTTGGCTCCTAAGTTCCAGATGTATCCTGCCATTTATTTGCATTTCATAATTAAAACTTTGCAGGCCCTTCCCTAAATATGTAGAAGCAGGTCAAATTTTGTATTTTTATATAGCTGCAAGGGGAAAAAAGATCCACATCTTTCATCATTAACATAAGATGTAAATAGCTCTTCCTGTTAGGTAAAAGAAAAATAAGATGCTGAAAAGCTTTTTTAATTTTTTAAAATTTGCCAGAGCATGTGTGTGCTTGCTGGAAAGAGACACAGAGAGAGAGAGAAAGAAATGCCTCATGTGGAATGGTCACACTGCAATCCTTTCTCCACCATCTCGTCCTCCTTTTGGGATTTTGGGCATGCACATACATGTATCTGACATTTTTTTTTTAGAATTATTTTATTGAATTTTATTTACTTATTTATTTTAATTTGACCAGAGAGAGGGAAAGTGAGAAAGCAAGCCACCGGGTCTGGGACTCAAACCATGGTCGGCCATGTGGGAGTCTAACGCTCTAAATGACCATGCCACCTGCTGGCTCCTCTGACATATGTTTCAAGCCTCTGGGTCTGGAACTTGAACCGTAGAGTTGGCGGTGTGGGATGCAGTTGCCTTAACCACTATGCCACCGGCTGGCCCAAAAAGTTTATTTTCAACATAAACATTTCATCAGACAAGACAGGGTGCAGGGAGATTGTTAGGCTACAGGAAAAGAACTGTCTCACCTCCCCTGAGGGGGAGGCAGGAGTTGGTTAGTGTCAAACCTTTCCCCTGAGATATTAGTGCAGGTCCAATGACATTTTAGGTCTGCACCAAGACTTTTGCCCCGTGAATTCCCAGCTGGAGGCCGAGGGCAGCCCTTCCCAGGCTGGGACTGCCGGGGACCAACCTCGGCGGGGGTGGGTTGGCTCGATGGAGGTGACGCTGGAAAGAAAGGAAGACTAAGGCCTCGTGCTTTTTCATGCACGTCCTCAGCCGGACACTCCCAGAGATCGCTCTCTGAGGAGTGACAACTGCTAGGAATCGCCGTGCCTTTTTATTGAAAATGGATACATGCAAGTAAATGGGAGAGGGGCTACGTGTACTAATGATCAATTCATAATGTTTTAACAATAGAAACCATTCAGGGTTTGATTAAGGGCAAGTCTATTAATCATCGATACAGTTCAACAATTGTTTGATTGATGAAAGCAGGTTCCTGGTAACTTCAAGCAGTGCAGTTTCAGGAAACAGTTCCAGCAAGCAGAGTTAACTATCAACCGAT